TTCACTGTCTTTTGTGAGGATGGTTGTTCTCTTTTGATGGTATTTTCTTTTTGATATAAGTCTTCATAAGTAAAGTAATGCTTTTCAACATGTAGTTTCATGATCACTGTAAAAGTACGGCTCCTCGAGTGTGAAAAGGGTTGTTCCTGTAGAGCTTTCTGTTGTTGGCTCTCCTGAGTAAACCAGTACACACTGGTGGAAAGTGAGAGAGGACATATGAAGATTTCCAGAAGTGGCTGAAGGAAATTTTCATGGCCATAGCAAAGCACAACAATCACAATGAGGGGACAATCAATAAAAATGAAACCAGTAAGTTTCTAAACCAAAAGGTTTAGAAAACTTCAGGTTGATGTTGAGGTAGAGAGTTAGGTTTCCTGTCTGTTGAGGATTTATGAGTGCCTTTGCCTCTCCCTAGATGTTGGGCATAACTGTTTGTGTCAACTTCCCTACGGCCTGGAGCGGAATCTGCAGGCCCTTTCCTTTAAAGCCTTTGGAATTTACATAACCCTGCAATTGTAGCAATGCAAAATGTGGCTCTGGTTACAATAACAAGGGTTTAGGGAACGCAGGGAGAGATTGTAGCGGCAAAGGCATAAAAGCAAAACAAAACAAAACCCTACATGCTGTTTTAATTTTCAGCAGCCACGTGAGAACTGTCCTCCAGTTCCTGCCTATAAATAAATCTCTGCTGTCATAGGAAGACAAAAACTAAAACGGTTCACATTCCTCCCAAATTTTTTTAAGGTTATAAAAAAATAAAGGAAAGGTAAATATTTCAAAAGCGGAGTGTATCCTTGCTGAGGAATGTCAAATTATTACTCAAGGGGGTTGATATTTGCATCAAGTAAAGAAATTTTACATGAAACCTCTCTTTCCCTGCTCCATCTCCACCAGCTCTTTTGAGAAAACCACATAGGGCTGCATATGGATAATGTGCCAAGCAACACTTCTTAAAGCCCCAGAGTTCACTGCCCTAGTGTCAGCTGAGGCAGGAGCTTTCTTTGAGATGAATGAGGACTGCACAGGAGCATACCTGTTGCTTCTTGTCAGATGTTACATCCTAGTTCTGTTACATGTTGTTTTAAGGAGATGGGGACTTGGTGCCAGGTTTTTTCCACTTTCCCAGTAACTTGGGGTTAGGACTGTAACTTCCTCCTTTGAAGAGATGCGGAATAAATGGGAATGCTCTTTGTGCCTTTTCTCCAGCTTTGAGCTTTCATTTATCAGACACAACTTGAAGGTCAGGCTGGATAGAAGGCTGTGTAATGTATTAAACATATGGCTCTCCTACCAGGAAAAAAATCCAATCCCATCACTGGCATGTAACTGGTGCAACAGAAAGTATCTAGGTCTACAGCACATCTGCTTTCCAGAAACCATACCAATAGCAAAAGCTGAAAGAGGAGCTTTCTGGAATATTACTTGTATTCCTGGAACAGCTCTGAGGAGTAGATTTGGCATCTAAAGACAAATCCTTTGCTGTAGCAAATGTGAAGGGAATAGTGGCAAAGTTCTACTGGCATTGAAGCAGAAGAAAATGGAGGACCACCACAGTGATTTGGGTGTGGCAAAAAACAACATTCTTGATTTAAGGTTTTTATATTCTTATGACTGGTCTTGTATGTGGAAAAATGTCAAAGTTAGTAAAGACTACTCAAAGTGGCAGCCCTTGAATTAAACTTTGAGCTAGGTTTAATGAGGATAGAAGATCAATTCCATAGCAATAGCTTTTTCTGAACCGTTTTCCTATTTTCTAACCCCAAAAGGGTGAGTGTTGTGAAATAGGTTTATCTTGCAAACTTTTGGGCATTGTTAAGGTAGGAAGCTTCAAAAAGTTATCCACTGTTACTGTTTGTTCTACCATGTGCTGCTTTTATGCAAGACACAAATACCAGGTGTGCAGAACATCTGGTATGTGTGAGATTTGGACACTTCAGGGAGTGACTTCTCTAATCAGATCTGAGGTGTTATTTCATATCTTTTGTGAACAAACCTTGCTGTACTTAGTGCCTAACCTGAACTCAGCTGAACAGTATCATTTTCTTCTCCCTTTGCCACCAGGAAGGTGAAGTGGCACTTACAGTTCTGGGAGCAACAGAGAATTTTCACTTCAAGAACAAACAGACAGAAGCTGGTGCAAATGTTTTAATAAGGAAAGCCAAGTCAGAGAAACACAGAAAATTTAATACAAGAGTACTGCTATGTACACAGCAAGTAGTGTGTATTCCTGTCTACACAGCAAGGCCTACCTGAAGGCAACAGAAAGCATTCATTATTGTCCCCATTTGACTCACTGGGAAATTAGACAAGAGAACAAACTGGTTGCAGTGTGAAAAGGCCAGGCACTGGGTTTCCTTACTTTTGAGGACTACAGTCAACTTGAATGCATGTGCTAATAATGAAAGGCTTTGTGCAATGCAGTACCATGATTTTCACTACTCTATTTTACTGCACAGTTTTCCCTTTCCATGTCACTTCCAGAATAATAACTTCTCAAATTCACTATACAGTTCAGCTGACAACAGACAAATAGTAAGACACTTCCCAAGGCAAACTCTTCCTGCCCTTTCGAAAAATTATCCCCATGCGATTTTTTCAGCAGCATCAAGGAGTTAAGGGGAGAAATTGATAGAGAATCTTGACATCAGACTCTCTCTCCCTTGCATTAAATCTAGGCACCTCCTACAGAGTTTCAGTCTCAAATGAAATGTCTCATTATGGATTGAGTGGCTCAAGAAAAAAGAAAATTGGTGTACTTTCCAGCTATCCAGATTAATTAGTAGAAATACCAGTGGCTGTACCACTGGCTGAAAATGTAAACAAAGTATTTTTATTCTCTCTGTTAAAATGAGGAATGGATTTTATAGACTTGTGAGACAAAGACAGTGAGTGAGTGAATGAATGAATGAACACAGTTGTAAGGTGCTATAAAGTTTTCATTTCTGTGTGTTTCCGATGACCACATTATTCATAAGTGGTTGAGCCATGAGTGATTCAGTTCATGCCATTAAAAAAGCCGCATCCTTACTTGGTATCATCAAGGGTTTTTACTTCTGCCACTTTACTTTGTTGATTCATGTATTTATTAATTTTTGCCTTGCCTTTCCCTCTTTTAGTGGACATCAGCTATTGTAGAAACACTGTCACTAGTCAGGACAGGGGTTAGTTGTGTGACTACACATTGACATGGCTAAATTGTGCACAGAAGGCTTTTGAAAAATGAGCTAGGATAACTTCATTGCATAGCGAGTTGCCGTGGCACTGACGGAGCAGACATGAGTGCAGAATCAACCAGCCAGTGCTCCAGACTGAAAGTAGTACCGTAGAAACAAGCAGTCCTGCTTGTTAAGTAAGCTTATAGTTATTACATGTGGCTAAACAAAGATTTGGTCACCTGTTCATATCCAGTTTCAGTTGATCAGAATGAAAAATGGTTACAATTGCAAGTGTCATAGGGTAAGCTACCTTATGTTTAGACTCAGGGACCAGAAGATATAATGCCATGTGAATTGCATGAGTAAGGATAGCTCTTTAGGAAATATAAGGAAAGTCTGAATCTTGAAGTGGCTTGAGAGGATCTTTTCAATATGTATAAATACTTGATGGTGGAGGAAGTAAAAAAGATGGAGCCAGATGCTTCTCAGTGGTGCCCAGTGGCAGGACAAGAGTTTATGGGCACAAACTGAAATACAGGAAATTCCACTTAAACATGAAAATAATTTTTTTTAATATGGGCATGATCAAATCCTGGAACAGCTTGCAGAGAGAGGTTGTGGAGGCTCCATGCATAAAGGTACTCAAAATCTGACCAGATGGGGCCCCAGACAACCTTCTCTGGTTGACCCTCCTTTGACCAGTGGTTTTGGAGCAGGTGATTGCCAGACATCTCTTCCAACCTCAACTGTTCTGTGCTCTGTGTCACCTTAATCTGTTTATTTTCTCATGACTGGGTCAAAACAGCTCAAGAACTGTGATCACAGCTGGCATTTACTATTTTGGGCCAAGTGCTATTTGGGATGTGCTGTCCCACATCCTCTTAAAATAAGTTATGTCAGGACAAAAATCAGGAATTATGGTGAAAGGTTTGTTGGGGAGCAGTAGAATTGCTTCCTGTGCTATATATAATTTGAGGTTGAGTAGAGGACTTCACTCTAATGTTTCTAATTTCACTAGTGTCAAATTCTTACAAAAAAAAAAAAAAAAAAAAGGCCTGGATTTGTCCAGTGTTGATAGACCTGTGTTAAAGTTGATATTGTTACTTTAGACGAAAATGGAGTTAATGAAGGAAAAACAAGGCCTTGTGTTTCTGTTATTCCCCAAAGACTACAGTTTCTATGAATAATCTTAAGGCACCCATGGAGGAATTGACAATTTTAATGATGTTTCTCTTAAAACAGCTTAGTTAAATGCCATGGGAAGCAAACAAGGAAAAGGTCGCTTTAATGGTATTTCCTACAACGACAGAACAGCAGCATTTGTGGAATGTCCTGGAGCACAATCATTTGGCTTTAATAAAAAATAATGAAAAAAACCCAACAACAAGAAAATTAGCTGAATGATAAAAGTAAATAATTCATAACAGATTTCCTCCTAAGTCCTGGAAGTCATCTGTCTAAAGCAGCTGATACAAAGAAGCCAAAGCCAATAGTTCTGCATCAGTTGAAAACTGTCTTTGTAAACGTTAATCAGACTCTGTGCAGGCAAATTTGTTTCTTTTTCTCTGTCAGTGATCGCTTATGATCCCTAAACTTTGCAGAGTGACCAATCAACAATCTGTCTACAATGCAGATGCAATCAGTGTTGAAGGTACAATGGTACGTGTGAGATACTCATATTGGGTTTGGTTTTAGAGTCTATTAAGAGCACTGTTGAGTGCTTCAGCAAAGAAGCCTTTAATAGTACCAAATAGCCCAAATAGTTCCTACTACCTTGCATTTTCTGACAAAACATTGGAGATGTTTTATGCTGATAGAAAGCTAAAAGGAACTATTTATTTGCAGTTGTTTCTCCAGAAGACCATCTCTACAGTCAAAACAGCTGTACTAATTCATCTGAAGGTCGGGTCTTCCTACACAGTGACGAACTGAACACAGAGACCTACACAGAGAGAGAGAAGAGCAAATCAGAAACTACACATACCATCCAGGTTAGTTCTGATTTGCATGTGGGGAGCCAGAGACGAAGAGAATACCAGGGAACAGGATTTTAGGTATTGCTGTTGTTCTCTTGACCTTCTGTGATGTTACCTACATGCACCAGGCAAGAAGAATCTTCCATCTATTGCAAGGTTGTTTCCAACTTAAAGCAATCGTGCCTTACTGTCCCCAGTTACAGACAAAACAGGTGTGTTTAGAAGCAACATATATCCTAATGGCATAAATATTGTAACCTTCTACCCTACCTGCTCTCATTACCACTTCAACAGAACCCAGGCGGTGCTACAAGTGTTAGTCATTATGTTACTCGGTCTGAGGCCCAGCCTATGAACTTGGTTTTGATTATAATTATAGTCTAAACTGGAGGCATTTGTTATAATAAGTTAGTAAATAAGCTTATTGCATTTAGTAATGTTCTTGATTTTATGCTCTGTTTTTCCTCTTTCTTTCTTTATCCTGTCCTTCATTCTTCCAGAGTGGCCACCAATTAGAAGAAAACTTAGTGTCAGCATCTTCCTCCTTGCTGCAATTTAGAATCCTTCAGGGCTTTAGTCTATTAAGAAGAGCTTGTGCATTCAATTTGTGCTTGAAGCCTAATTACACCTAATGTCTCATCCTTTTCAGTGTACTTTCAATTTCTCTTGTAGTGCTTGCAGCAGTCAGGTGCAGAAACTAAAGAGTGTGAAACCTTTTCTTCCTACCCAATTTCCACTTTACTGGATCTGAAATGCTGTGAAGTCATGTCACCCAGTTGCCTACTGACACACGCTCTGCAGCAGCATTCACATGAATGCAATGGGAGTGTAAAGTGTGGCTGAGTTAAGGTGGTGCATGCTTCACCCTGGTGTAAATGAGTACACCAAGCAGCAGGGCAGTGATGAATCAGTTGACAGGGCACAGGCTCAGTCATACTTCTGCTGAAGTGAGCAGTAAGTTTCCTGCAGTTGTCTACATAGGCATGATCCTGCCCTTCTCTCAGCATCCTAAATAGTTCCCACAGCTGTTAGAACCTCACAGACAGCCAATACAAAAAAATACAAATGCTAAACTTCAGATTCTGTTACCTGAAACAAAGTATGGTGTTTTGCTCACAGCTCCAGTTCTCTAGCTGTATATGAATATGTATTCAAGAGGAACACATTTACACTCCATAATTTTAAAATATTACCATTTTACATCTTTGAAGTCTTCTTGAAAACTGACTGATTCATTCTTGATTAGCTACATCCCTCAAGATGATCACTTTCTTCTCTGGTATGTGTAGTGGTTCAGGAGCAACGATTTTAGGAGTCCGGTTGCTGTGCGTAAATATCTTGCACAGGACCAGGGCCACTACCTAGTTAAATATGTGCTGCTCTCTTGGCATACGCCAAGTTTCCTTCTGGCTCACACTACCGCGATGGAATTAAACCTTGCAGAATCTGGGCGTGCCCTTCTTCATGTCCCAGTCAACTGTTTCACACAAAGAGCAATGTTTTTTTTGTCTCCAGAGCAACTCAATCTTTCTGGTAATGACACATGTACTACTTAGCACCCTGCTGAAGCACCGGCACTTTGCGTTCCCAGTGAACTGAACCATCCTGCCAAGTACAACAAAGATGGCTTACACCTTTCTTCTCCCCTGTCCTTACCCTCACAGTCAAGCAGATTTCCAGGAGAGCAATTCAGCATCCTTTGCCTAGAAGTGGGGAGCCACCTTTCCGTAGGAACTTTGTCTTGTTTCCAGGACTCTTAAGTATACAGGAATTCCTGCAAAGAAAGTCAAGTATTCTCCAGGAAAGTGTGTGTCACAAATAGGACAGATTCTATGTGGTGGAGGTTATGTCCAGAAAAAATCAGGGTGGGTTAACAGTGGCGTAATTAAGGGGAAAAAAAAACAACCAACAACAAAACACCAAAGCCAGAATGAAGAGCTTGGCCATCAAGTACTGAAACGAAATGTCATTTGCAATTAATTGCTATAATAAGGTCAGCTGCTTTCCTAATTGATTCCAGCTTCTTACTAAGGGATCAGTGCTGCTAATTAGTTTGCATGTAAACTTCAGAGGACATGAATAATCAGAGTTTAGCAAGCCACACCAACCGTAACTAATCCTTCTAGCTCTTCTGCAAAGAACACACAGTAAGCAAATGTTGTCCTCTGCCCAGTACCACAGGTGGAGCCAGGACTTATTGCTCCAGCTCTTTTTTTTCCACTGAGATGCTACCACGCACTCAGAAGCACACAGAACTGGCAACCCTGAAGTCCCTTTCAAAGAAAGTGAGTTTCCTAGCTGGAATAGGAGCAGTGCTCTGTCACTGGTGCTATACAGAGGATATTAGCAGGAGCTCCCTGCCTGCTAAGCAGATGTTTCAGGATCCATAAGTAGCCAAGTATCATTTACAAAACCCCAAGGCTGTTCTAAGTTGACATCAGAGTCTTAACATACCTCGATCAGCTTATAGACCGCAGAGTCACAAGGACCGTTAAAAAACTGCCATTACTTCTTCACTCTGGTTTTGTTCTTACTGGAAGTCAAACAGAGTAAAAGGTCTGGCCTAGATCCTATATCAGGATAAGAAGTAGAAATAGCCTTTCCCTTTCTCTGGCCCTTTGTATAGACATAGCTTTGGTTATTCTGGAAGTCCCTGAGGTCTGCGTGTTCATGGATAGAGACTGACTTTATTTCTGACTGCTTTAATGCCATGATCTTGGTTGGAACAAGACATGTTGATCTAGATCATCACTAATTAAATGATGGTCAGTACAACATCAGACATTTCCTAAACAATTCCAAAAACTTAAAAAAGCCCATACATCCCTCCCCGCCATGCAAATAAACAAATCTATACATATAAATCAGGGGAATAAAAGGAAAAGAAACAGACCATTCAGAGCCCAAACTAATTTTAAAATTATTATTAGTGAAAGCCTAGTTTGTGGTGCAGCCCAACATGGTCTTTGGATTTTTTTCAAAAAGGCAAGAAAGGCCTTCAAATGAAAAATGTTGAGGAATGTTATTATACAGACTTTTGTTGGAGGAGCTGCCTAGGGACAAGCTTACTCCAACCCTCCTTAGTTCAGCTATTTAGTATACAAAGCCAACAACAAGTGTTTACTAATGTTTGTGATACAAATCTCCTGTCTGCATGGTGCACTTTCTGTAAAATGACTATTTACTAGAACATAGATAACCTTTTTAAAAAAAAAAGATTTCTCTGGAAGATGAGAAAATATATACAGAATAGAAGGAAGCATTCAAAAAATGATGGGGAAAGCAGAGGAAGACTCAATTTTACAAATCATTGTAAAACCTCTACTTTGCTAACTGAAAAGCAGGAATAAACTGAAAGAATGTAAAGTTCAGCTGAATTCTTTTTTTTTCTGAAAGTCTGGTATGTTATTCCCAAAAAAGCATTATGAGTAGGTTCAAAATGGTCATAAGGTGTTAGATGAGAACACAACCCAAGTTCCTTCAAGGCAGACAAATGAAGTCAGGGTGAAGCTGCTGGCTACAAGTGTTTACAGTAGTCAGGGACTGGTAACTATCTTAATTGCTGGCAGATGAAATTTAACCTAATTCTGGCTCATTCTGTCTCCCTTGCTTTGAGGGATCTGGGTTTCAGTTGGGCTGTTATCTGAAAACAGAGTCGCACTTTCAAAATGTTTGAGAAATGCAAAGCAAAACTAAAGGGAGAAATGAGACAATCCCTGTAAAATTTCCATATTTTTTTCTTTTTTCCTTCAGATGGAGTACTCTCTGACTTTTGCTTTCTAAAAGCTTGTAAACCTTCTTTCTGAAGAGAAAATGTCTCTTTCCTCTTTCCATAGCTGTTACCTGAGTCGCAGCAATTGGCTTTTCTTTCAGTCTTCCCTGATCCCTTGTCAGCAGACAACTTGTGCAGACCACTTGCTAAATCTTGACAAATACAGGAGAGCGGGTTATAATGGGCTTGAGAAGCCAATGAAAGAGAAAGAGCTGTGAACAGAAAATACGCAGGATGAAATTGAAATGTGCCATCTCCAGAAAGGTCCAAACCAACATCTTACATCTAATTATGATGGATACAGATTTTGATGTCGTTGTAGTTGACAAAAATTCAGTGGTATGGGCCATTTTTTAATACGGAAAACAAATCTTTTTATTTAAGCACAATTGGTAGATGTAGTTTGATAGGTAATACATTGATTTAAGGATTTGTCAAGGAACATTATCTTCATGTTGAAGGCCATAACTTTTATTAACTGCACAATTCTTACAGATCTGATAAGGCTTAAGTTCTAGGAACCAATTTATTTACTTTTAACCATTTTTTTTAAAACTGAGAGAACAAACCCACCAAAAATAGATGTTTGTGCTGGGTTTGTATTGGCAGCTAACTAAAACGTATTTTTCCATGGTGTCAGGAATGTTGCAGAAAAGGAAGTGCCCCAACAATACATCAGATGCAAGCTAACCTTAAAAACACTAAGTTCTGTCACAGTTTCACTCAAACATTTGCATGCATGCACATGCGTAAATGCATATATGTACACAGAGGTGTGTACAAGCATTGTGATTCATGAAGTGGAAAACAACTTTGCAGCACGAATAGTTCTAATTTTTAATTAGTAATGAACATCATTTCACATGAGCATTGTCCAGGTCCCTCCTTTTTTAAAGTTCAAAGCAAGTTCTCAAACTGCTGTATTAACACATTAAAGATGTGAGTTAGGATGGAAAAGCTTTAATCTGCAATTTATATATCCCTGAATTGGAGGGTAATCCCATTCTTATTCATCAGGAAGTCAGTGGGAGTGGAATCCAGCCCTTAGATCCGATGATGTGGTTTGAACCCAAAGATAAAAATAATTTTAGAAGAATTATATTAACCAAAAGAACATATATGCATGTCTGCATTGTATTGACTACATATGCCTCATTTCAGCCCCTCAGAGAGAGAGGGTGGCTCTAATAAGTAAGGTTAGTGATGGTCCCGTCACCGTGTTACATCCAATGTCAGTGTACAG